TTAAGTTAACCTTTTCACCACCATTTCCCTCTTTTCATCACAAATTCACAAAACAGTCCTGTGCATAGTCTGCACTTTCGTTCAGAAGATCGGGACAAAAATAGCCAAAAGTGAAAAATTTAAATTGACTCAATTTTTTTCGAAGATAATGATTTGTGTCTAAATCGATAAACAGTTTGAACACAAAATAAAATGATAATTTTTTCGCTCTAATTCAAAAGGTTGAATAAATCCTGAGTTACAGATACAAACGCTGCAAGGTAGTGTGTTAAGGCAGTTCAATTCAAATTTAAAATATGGGAGAGAACTTTCTATTGTATATGATTGAAAACTATTATCCATCTGGAAAATCACTAAAAATTTCAAGTTTGAATGTCACAGAATATATTACCGGTACCCCATAATTTGAAAGTATGAGGATAACATTTTGATTTTACGAACAACAAATTTTCTGAATTTCTCAAGTCAGTCAAATAATGAAATTCGTTTGGAGGGTCCTATGACACAAAGCGTCAGGGCTTTCACAAAACTTTATCTTCTTAAATGGCACAAAATCCTCAAATTGTGAGAATTTCTAGCTCAGCAAAAAATGGTTAACAGTATACACTATGTATCAGCCTACCTCTCCTCTTTACACTGCCTGCTGACACCACTTTTTTCCCCCCATTCATTTCGGTTAAACGTAAAGACTTTCAGCCATCAGAATGTCAAGCTCAATGAAATGCTACTTACCTGGAGGAAGGCACTGTACAGTCTCATCTATGGAGGCATCAATATCTTTTTCCTTCCACACAAAACACTGATTTTCCTCCTCAAGTCTAGTAATCTTTTTGGGGTCTGATCTCTCCTTTTTCAGTTTCCTAGCAACAAAACAATCATTCCACCTTGAATATTACTACATTAGGTCAGAGTCTCCCAAAACACTACCAAGTAGCAAGCAGAGTTTCTTCCTATTACCTGTATACACACTACGCCAATATACATATACCGGGTAGTACCGTAAAATCTGTATTAGAAGCTGCATCCCTAATAGAAGTCGCACCCATTCTTTTTGAATAATAGAGACCAAAAATTTCGTCATTTCTCATATGTGTAGATGCTCTAATAGAAGCCTCATCCCCTCTATTGCATTGTACCATTTTAATAGAAGCCGCGGTTTCTAATACAGATTTTACAGTAAGTTTTTTTTTTTTATAAATTGCAAGGAAGTATTGATAGCTTATCTGTTCAAAGGGCTGCCAATTGAAGTACAAGAGAACATCATGCTATGTATAAAAAAAATACAATGCAGAAAAAGGGAAGTTTTTTTCAGCACTTGCTTTGTATTATTTTAGATAAAAGATAAATGAAAATGTTTTAATAGGAAGGTACAAATGTACCAATAAATGTGTGGTCAGTCTGATTAAAATAAAGCATAGGTAGAAAACTAATTGTTTTCAGTACAGATTCTGATCAAAACTTGCATTTCCAAATGACTTTTACTAAGGCATGCTTTTTTTTTTTTAAATTATTTTTGTGCCAGGCGGCAGTTCTGGACATTGAGTGTGTCTGTTGTCTCTCCTGACTTTTTTTGTTGGTATGTGCAAATTGCAAGTGCTAGTGCTGACACGGTGCATTTTGCACGGAAGTCATACCGGGTATTCATGTTTGGGACTACATGACAGGGCCATGTGGCCATCCATCTCTCTGTCAAATGGCAGGCTCGGTCGAACACAAAACCCCAAGTCGCATTCGTTAGTGAATGAATCTCGGCCAGTGGAATTGGCCTTCCCATTGAGTCAGTGGCACACTCACCCAGGGTAGGGGGTCGACCCTTTGATGTTCAGCCTAAGGTAGGATTTGAACTTGGGTCTACCGATCATGAGTCTGAAGCAACAACCATTATGCTACCAGTGACCAAGGCATGCTTTAACTGGTAGGCAAATCCCATCAGAGAGAATCTGCCTGAATTCATATTGGTATCCTATTTCCTCTATGCGCAGCTCTTCTTTAAGGTAGAAGCTTATTCATGATTGCAAATACTCAGAATTTATTAATTTTCAAATAAATTGTACTTCTGGGCATAAGGATATTGACTTAAAAAACGTGGGGCCACTAACTTAGTTTTTGAGAAAATGATGGTTATAATTTAGTGTATAGTGGCTATTTTGGCAGTATTATAGTGCTTTTTATTGTTATTAACACAAAAAAAAAGTAAATGGGGTTGGATACTGTTGACAGTTACGTCATTTTCTGTATTGATTGTGTCAGTTTCACTATGTTTATCAATTGGAGGTCCATGACGTATGTTTTCAGTATACCCATTTTTGCCATTACGTTATTAAACCATGTTTACTAGAGGAAAAAAAAAAAAATAAATAAAAAAAAAAAATAGTGCTTTTACCATTGGTTCCTATGGCAGAGATATGTGCTGTATCTCAAATTGTAGACTGGTGACGTAGGCTGAACAAATATACTGTGAACGATGGGATACTTATTGTTGTCCTCAATTATTTAAAAAATCTGGGCTTTAAAAAATGTCAAAAAATGCAATTTTTCTTTTAACATTGTGTTCTATGGAATTGTTCTCAAAAAAATCGATTTTCAAGAAATATTAGGACATGTTTCTCAAAAGCTTAACTGTAACACAGAAAATGCCATTTCATTGTAACATTAGCTTCATGATTGTAACTAATAAACTAATGAACAAATGCAATTTATGATCAACTTTCTACCTTAATAGAAGCAACTACACATAAACACGAACATACATCCCTTTCAAAATTAGAGTAGGTCACAGGGAAATAAAAGAAAACAGTTGAGATGTGCTGTATCTCAAATTGTAGACTGGTGATGTAGGCTGAACAAATATACTGTGAATGATGGGGTACTTATTGTTGTCCTCAATTATTTAAAAAATCTGGGTTTTAAAAAATGTCAAAAAATGCAATTTTTCTTTTAACATTGTGTTCTATGGAATTGTTCTCAAAAAAAATCGATTTTCAAGAAATATTAGGACATGTTTCTCAAAAGCTTAACTGTAACACAGAATGCCATTTCATTGTAATATTAGCTTCATGATTGTAAATAATAAACTAATGAACAAATGCAATTTATGATCAACTTTTTCAACTTTCTACCTTAATAGAAGCAACTACACATAAACACGAACATACATCCCTTTCAAAATTAGAGTAGCTCACAGGGAAATAGAACAAAACAGTTGAGATGACTTGAAAGAATTTACTGACCTGAGTTTTTTGTAAATATTTGCTAGTTTTTGATGTCTCAGTGTAACTGCCGATGACTGTTGCAGGTAATATACAGACTGGTATGGTTGACTGTCACCAGTACACTTCACTAATGTGTGGCATATATCACGAAATAACTTCATAGGCACCGTGGAAAGACACAGTGTGTAGGCAGTCTTTAATAAATCTATTATTGCACTCAAATCAACATGACCTGAAATATCAACAGATTTGTTTAAAGGGTGCTGTATACGTTTTTGGTATTGATTTTCTAACCTGATGTTTTCATATAAAATATTTACTGAACCACACAAAGCTATATATTAATGGAAAGCCTATTTCACAGTGGGTATGAAATCGACAAGATAGTGTGTATATGGACGTGTATAGTCACATGATCTCTGTGTAAACACAGAAAGCCATTTTTGGGGAAAAATAATTGAACCACTGAATAAATGAATTTAGTAGAACATTTGTAAAAACTGTACCAGTTAGAAGTTCAAACTAAAGTTTTGTAATAGCCAGGGAGTTAAAACAGATTTTCAGTAGCTACAGAGTTCAAAAATGACTAACTGTGAATATGGTAACTGTTCATTCACAGTGGCCGATGAGTGGTACAAATGAAATACACAAAAATAAAATATTTTTGAGGGACTAAAAAACGCAAAAAAAAATAAATGTTTGTCAAATATATACCATTTGACCCCTCGCCAGAGATTGCGTTAACCCCATATTTTGCTTCCCGGACTCCAATTATTGAAGAGGGACCCAGTTTTTCAGGCATGCTGGGGTCCAATCTCTAATAAAGTTATCCAGGGTCAAATTTCAATTTCTTAAAATTTTGTAAGTGGGACTCGTCTTGTCGAGACACTAGTGCAAACTCTGGCCCCTTGCCAAACAAAATCCCTGTCGTTCTTTGACTATTAAACTTCAACACCCCTATACTTAATGAATGCAATAATTGTTATTTTGCAAGCAGTTTCCACACAACAAAATTTTTTAAACCCAAAGTGACCATCAATAAATGCACGTCTTCTTTTGATACATCATGAAATGTGAATAATAAAATGATGATTTTTCTTTTAGAGTAAACCCCTGTCTTTTTTTAAAGATACAATAATATACATCATTGGCCCAAAATTGACGTTTGCACTAAAGTGCAGATCTTTTACCCAAAGTTACATGTATGAAGGAAAATATTCTCCCTGCGTAAGGACACAATGTTCATATTCAGGATGTATTATTTTATTAGATTCCTCTCAGATTATAAATAGGAATTTTAGTCTCCAAAACAATGACATTCCATCAGCAGTGAATAGAGAGCTCAGTCATCTTGAAAAAAAACGTTTTCTGTATGGCACATAAAAGTGTCAATGATCATTACACATCAGAATTTCATATTTTGAACCATGTATTAAACTGCGTGAACGTGAAGGCGTATAATACGAACAGAGCCAAAAAACGTACAAATATAGTGAAAATGTAAATTAACCCTATAGTAGAAACAAATCCGTACTTACTTGTCATCGCAGCTGAGTTAAGTTGTCTGCATTTTGAGGTTCTTTTCCTTGGCAATATTAAATGATTATCGGCTTCAATATCACTATCATTCCCTCTGACAAGCTCAATCTCATCAATCTCATCATCCGCATCATTGTCCAGAGGACAAAGTTGTAAATCATTTGTATCAGAGAGATAACATCCCTGCAAACCTGTTAGAAGAACTTGACTCAATTCATTCTCAATGTTAATACAGGGTAGCTTTTTCCTATGAAGACTAGTACACAACTGTGGGCTCTCTAGTCCTGATGAATTTCTGTTAAAATCATCCATACTCAGATCCAGCACCTCATCCTCCTCATCATGGTAATCATCGTTTCCATGGCCACCCTCATCTCTCACTCTTTCTACATTCTCAGTTCTTGTTGCTCTGACTCTCCCTTTTCTTTTTTCTTTGGGAACTTCTAATACAATTTCTTCTTTTGTCACATTTTTCCGCGGTCTTCCCCGCCGAGCAGGCATGCTCCTCTCAACAGTCACTCTGTTATCTTCCACCTCTAGGCTTTTCTTGGATGATTTTGTGTTTCTACGTCTAGTTTGTTTTTTGTTCTCTGGTTGCCATGCTTCATCACTTTCAGAATCAGAAAGATCATAAACATCTTTCCCATCATGCAACATCTCATCCTCGTCCTCGTAACAAACTTCTTTCAAAGTTTTACCTTTCCTCGTATTTCTTGAACTTTCCTTCATGTCCTTGCTTCCACCTCTTGCATTTCTTCGACTTCGACCCCCTGAACATTTATCTTTTTCAACCTCATCCTTGTGAATGTCAATCACCACTTTGCAACTCCTTGCTACGTTTCGTTGCTTGCTTGTCATTTTCACAGCTTTATTTTCCAAATCTAAATGCTCATAGGTATCATTATTACGCGGCTTGACCTTGCATCTTGTGGGTCGTCTCTTCATTTGATCTTGCTTCTCGTTCTCGCACGTCTCTGTGTTTTCGGAATCTGATGCACTATACTCAATCATCTTTTTACGTGTCTTAGCCCTGGTTTTCTTTTTTGGTTTTGTTTCATCAGTAGTCTGGAAATCATATTCCGTACTCCCATTGTGTTCGACTATTATTTTTGTTGGTGAATATTCAATGAAATCCTCATTCTCACTGACGTACTGATGCAGAGTTTTCGACCCTTGTGCTCGAGCGGCATTTTGTCTACTACTGCTGCTTATCTTTTTTGCACTCTGAGTGAGCATCTCCAGTCGACCAATATCAAATGATGATAGTTTTAACACCGTGTTTGGTTCACCATCTAACTCTGTGTCTCCTCCCGTTGCCATGGTATCTCTAGCATCATCAAGAATTTTAATACTTTTCTTTGAAGTTAATTTTTCTGTTTTTTTCATCATCTTCACTTTGTTTTTCATTTTCGTATTGGGATCAGTACCGTTGATCGAGCATTCCTCTAATTTCTTAGTAATTGCATCCAAATCATCTTCCTCTTCAGTGTTCGCAGACTGCTGAGTTTTAATTTTCCAAACATTTGCCAACAACTCCTGAACAGAGCATCCATTTTTCTGAGCTTCTATTTGAAGGAGTACAAGTGATTTCTGGAACAGCATTTTTGCTTCCTGCAACCCAGTTGGACTCAACTTACAGAGCTCTTCTACCTTCTTCACACACTCCCCAGCTTTATTTAAATTACCATCAATCCTACAAATCTCAGCATGTCGGAGATGTACATCAATGATCGGATCAACATACAAATTACCATGCACAGCTCCCTCAATCTTTTTTTTGCCCTTTCCTTTGTTTTTATCTTTTCTTCCCCACAATATTGTCCCAGGTATCAGTCAGAACGGCATAGCTATGATCAATTAACAGAACAGCGTCACTGAAGACTTTCCTGATCGCCAAATCATTTTGTCGTAATTTCAAATAATCGATGTAAGCAGATAACATAAGTAGCTGTACCCGATTGACGATGACATCACCTGACAAAACTGGAGACCATTCTAGCGATGGCGATAATTCTTGATTACTCCCATCGTCAGAAGACTCATTCAACGTAGATATCGGTTTACTGATGATGAAGTTGTCATCGTCATCGTCTTCGTCCGTATCAGTATTGCACTGTGATTTTCCAGAGATGGCGTTCTTGGCGTTCAGTAAGTAATTGTGATTGGCTGCTTTACCAGCTTGGGAGGACAGCATAGCGAGTTCCACC